AAAAAAAAAAAAAAAAAAGAACCAATAAGGAGCGAAACCCAGAAATCAAAAAAGATTGGTGATTGCAAGGTTTGGTTTGGGTTTTAGTACCAGAAATTGAACCCCAGGGGCTCTTAACCACTGAGCTTTTAATTTTTTAATTTGAGATGGGGTCCTGCTAAGTTGCTTAGGGTCTCACTAAGTTGCTAAGGCTGGCCTTAAACTCACAATCCTCCTGTCTCAGCCTACAGAGGCCACTGGGATTCTCCTGAGCTGCTGGGATTACAGGTATGAACCACCTACCTAACTTGGAATTTTTTTTGAAGTTTGTGAAATATTCACACGTGATTCTCCAAACACAAATGGAAGATTATACACATCACTCTGAAACTGATTTTTTTTTTTTTTTGGTACCGAGGATTGAACCCAAGGGCACTCAACCACTTAGCCACATCTCCAACCCTTTGTATATTTTTAGAGACAGGGTTTCACTAAATTGCTTAGGGTCTTGCTAAGTTGCAGAAGCTAGCTTTGAAGTTGTGATTCCTCTTGCCTCAGCCTCCCAAGCCACTGGATCACAGGCGTGTGCCACTGCACCCAGATGCAAATGGTTTTCTTTTTTTAAATCTTTTATGTTTCTTAAGTATTTATTGAGTTGTAGATGAACACATATACTGTCTTTATTTTTTTATGTGGTGCTGAGAATCAAACCCAGTGCCTCACACATGCGAGGTAAGCACTTTACCACTGAACTACAGCCTCAGCCCCTGAAACTGGTTTTCATACGTATGATTATTTCTCCTAGTTTACTGGGTCTTTTGTTGACTTTACGGTGTTTTCCATTATGCAAAAATTCTGAATTTCACCATAAACAAATCTGAAACATTTCCCTTCGGGGTTTTTAATGTGCGGTTTCAGAACCAAAAAGGGATCCCTACTGCACTAGGTCCAGCACCCAGTAGTCTCTAGAGTGGCGTGCCCATTCACTTTAGAGCCAGGTGGCAATTTAGTGAAATACGGATGGCCCTAGGTCCAGAATGGAAGAGGATGGTAGGCAATGTCACATAGGTCTGGCCCTTTGGATGCGGCCCTGGGTGCACTGTGCTTGCCTGGACTATAGGTACACGCAGTCCTCACCTGAACACAGAATTCTATCTATTTTTGTAACAGAAAAAAGACTCTTTACTTTTTTCTTTTCCTTTTGGTACTGGGGATTGAACCCAGGGGTGCTCTACCACTGAGCTACATCCCCAGCCCTTTTTATTTTGAGACAGGGTCTCACTGTGCCTGGCCTTGTTGGGTTTGTTTGTTTAAATAACATACATTTTTAAATATCTTTTTTTTAAATTTATGTTTTAGTTATAGATGGACACAATACCTTTACTTTATTTACTTATTTTTATGTGGTGCCAAGGAGCAAACCCAGTGCCTCAAATATGTGAGGCAAGCACTCTACCACTGAACCCCAGCCCCAGCCCCTTGTTGGGTTTTTAAAACAATCATAATAGCTTTATAATCGGGTAACAAGATGTTCATAGGAAAACACCCAGGGCCACTCACCTGGCTCAGCCTCATGTCCATCAGGGTGTTCCTTGCTTGGCCAATCTTCCTCATGTCCAGCTCACCTGTGCCTGGCGTCATCAGTCCTGGGGTCATCCCACCTGGGTATGGAGTGTTCAGTCCACCTGGGTATGGCGTGTTCAGACCCCCAAATTGCTGGAAGGTAAAGGATAAAACACTGGTTTGCACTTTCATGTGAACTTCATCTTCCCTGAAATAGTCCCACAGGAGCTAATAGGCCCATCTGTGCAGACTCAGCCATAGCACAACTACTGAGCTGCAGGCACACTCAACCCATTGCTCCCACCTGACCTGTCCAAACCCCAGAGCCCCATTTGCCTTCTTTTCAGATGCTCACAGTTTGCCGGGGATCCACAGAAGTATGGTTTTCCCCAGTCTGTAAATGCTTTGCAAAAAAACTATCAGGAACAGGGGTCAGCTTCTCATAACGTGGATTCCGTTGGCGTTTGTTTCTTGCATCACCAACTTCTGGGATGCTTAGCCACTCTTCCTCTGTGACCTCTGCCAGCTTCCTCTGGAAACACAGTCCAAAGCATGAATCATCAACAGAAGTTCATGACTCAGACAGAGCTACACTCATCCTCCTACAACCTGCGGAGCAGCAGGCCTTAGAGAGGATTTTGATGCAGAAATGGCCTTCTACTACACTTAAGAGAAATCCATTTATTGGATCTGTTCTATGGAATTAAAATATAAATTATTCTATCAAAGCATAGGTACAATGGTGCACACCTATAATCCCAGCAACTCAGGAGGCTGAGGTAAAAAAATCAAAAGTTCCAGGCCAGCCTGGGTAACTTAGGGAGACCCTGCCTCAAAATAAGAAAGGGGCTAGGATGTAGCTTAGTGTTAGAGCACCCCTGGGTTTGATCCCCAATACTGGGAGGCAGTGGGGAGCCCAACAGGCAGAGTTTAGAAAACCTTACTTACAGAGCTGGGGTTGTGGCTCCATGGCAGAGTACTTGCCTCGCACATGTAAGGCACTGGGTTTGATCTTCAGACCACACAAAATGAATAATAAAATAAAGGTATTGTTGGGGCTGGGGTTGTAGCTCAGTGGTAGCGTGCTTGCCTAGCATGTGTGA